ACAGTGCTCTGTCTCTCCTCTTATCCCAAAAATAAAATAACGCGAAAACCCTACAGTTTTCTTGATTCTTAAGGCAGTGCTGTTTTTTTTTTTTAATATATATTTTTTAAAGAGAGAGAGAAAGACAACACATAGGGAGGGGCAGAGATACAGGGAGATAGAGAATCCCAAGCAGGCTCCATGCCGCCAGTGAAGAGCCCAATGCAGGGCTTGAACTCATGGACCGTGAGATCATGACCTGAGCTGAAATCAAGAGTTGATGCTTAACCAACTGAGCCATCCAGGCGCCCCAAAGCAGTGAGGTTTTCAAGACCACACTCCATTGATATCTCTTTGACATTGCCAATCATAAGGATTTTGAAGGGAGAAGAATATATATTTCTTAAATCACTAAATCACTGTAGGTACTGAGGATGAAAAAGCTAACTTATTAGATCTTAATGGCCAGGAAACAGGGCAAAGAAACAGAAAGATCTACCTACCTACCTACTTAATGTTATATTAATTCATACAACAAATATATAGTGAGCACCTACTACATGTTAAGCAATGTTCTCATGCGGACACAACTGTAAAATATGGAGTGTTCATATTCTAGTGGGAGAAGATGTACAATATTCAAAAACAAGTAAATTATATAGTATTTTGAGATACTTCTTTCTGCTGTGGGCAATGGGAAATGTAGAGTCTTTGCTTTAAGTGACAATATTCCATATACAGCAACTTCAACTCTTAATCCTGGTCTCTTGCAGTTGAATTCCTTTTTTTTTTTTTTTTAACGTTTATTTATTACCGAGAAACAGAGAGAGCATGAACATGGGAGGGGCAGAGAGAGAAGGAGACACAGAATCTGAAGCAGGCTCCAGGCTCTGAGCTGTTATCACAGAGCCCCATGCGGAGCTTGAACTCACAAACTGAGAGATCGTGACTTGAGCTGAAGTCAGACGCTTAACCGACTGAGCGCCCCAGGCGCCCCAGTTGAATTCCTTTTTTAAAGGGACTGAGCAGGACAATTTAATCTACATATCTGGGTTTATTCATACCCCTATATTATGGTTGTCTTCTGTGTTCTGTTGATAAAGGCTTCAACTTTTAACAAATCTTTTAGCTCAGACTTCTGGGAATCAGAAGCAGCGTCTTGTGATATACATTTCTAATGATTAAACATACAATAATGATGATGATGTTAATAATAAAAGAAACATAAATAAGTGTTCCTTAGAGGCAAAATGGAAATGGCTTCTATACTTTGGATACTCCAACTTGTTTATTTCTTTAATCATGTCACCTATATTAATCTATCATGGACTACAAAGAACATTCACATCATTGCAAGCACAAGCTTACTTAGAGGAACACCTAGGAGCTTCAGAGATTATTCCTCACTTCAGATGAGTCTATAACAATTCTCTTTCAGTAAAAGAAAAATATGTTTGGGAGCCCCTCAGGGGCTGTCAACGAGTGATAGCTGCTGTATATTATAGAGCCTAAAAAAGCCCAAAGACAAAATGAAGGGCACAGTCAATATCGTCAGTTAAATCCAAATTACTTTAGGTTCAGCCTTTCTTGAAGTTTTAAGAAGATTCAGAGGTCCATGAAAAAGGAACAAACAGGAGGTAGCTCTAAATGCAGTAGGGGGCTTTGGGATGGCTTTACAGCCTCACTTAGAAATGGGTGATGCCAAGCCCTGAGGCCTAACATTTTGATTCTGGAACATGTCTGCTCAGTGGCCTCATGGCCTCTGATAGCCTGCCAACATAACAGAATGAAAATGCCCTCAGCTGGGAGGGCTCTTATGAAAGGGAATCAGTGATTGGTAAGAAAAGGGAGGTTCGAGGCAAGTTGGGAGAGGGAAAAAAACACTGCTGAGTAGGGAGGAAAAAAGAGGAAAGAACAGTGTGTGTTTCCAGATTTATGCCTTTGGCTGAAAAGTTCTTGACTCAAGTTCAGATTTTCCTAAGTAATGTCTCCTTGTTTCATATAGCTCAATAAAACTAAAATAGAATATTCCAAGCATTGACAAGTGAAAAACAATTTATATTTTAAGTAATTCTGACAATACTGTATACATTGTTGTGATCCCCAGGCTGTTTCTTGAGACAACAGTGAGGTCTATACTTATATACATATACATATACATATACATATACATATACATATACATATACATGTACATGTATATGTATGTGTGTGTGTGTGTGTGTGTGTGTGTGTGTGTGGGTGTATTTAGTATCAAAAAAGTTGATGGAATGGTGAGGAGGATAGAAAAGGTAAAGGGATAAGTGACTGATAATAAAGATTAATGGTCCTGAAATAAACATCCTATGTAGTAATTAGTGATTAAAGACAACAAAGGAAACAAAGAAGAAAAGTTTGTTAAAAAATTTAGACACGTTACGGAGGGGAAAGCAATTAAAGAGACATTAAACCAAGCGGTATAACTTAAGCAATTAGTGCTAGGTCACTGGCCTTATGATAAACAGGGTGTCCAAACCCCTGGCAACACATCGTGAAAGGCCTGTCTCCCATCTGGCTGGGAGCCACCGTAAATACCAACTGCCCTACTCTGTGATCTATGCATGAGCTCCGCGATGAGCAGAAGGACCCAAAGAGGCAACGTCAGCTCCTCAATGATCAGGTGTACCGTAATTTTGCCAATGGCTTCATATAAGAATAAAAGAAGCAAAAAACACACGACAGTCCTTCTTATAAGAAGGAAAAAAAAGGTTAATTCCTGTGAATACCTTAAAACAAACTCTCTTAAAAAGATGAAAAAGGTTCTATTTTTTTTCACTGCAACACTACAACCTTTCCCCATTTAAAAAAAAAAAAAAAGGAAAAAAGCTAATGAAAAAACTAAAACCATGAGTGAACACTGTTCCTGAAAACTTTGCAGAATTGTAACAGCTTTCTCTTGGTTAAATTGATTGGTATAGCAACATTATAAAATGACTATTAGGATTCATTGTGCACCACAGAAAGTGCTGAAATGTCAGCAGACTATACAGCAAAAAGTAATGGGTTCTGAACCCCTGTTAGTCAAAAATGATTTTGTTTCAAATTAGAAATTGATTTTTTTTGGACACAAGCCCTTTCCAGGCTTACAGCTTCTGTAGCTGGGCCCAGGAGAGATTAACCTCCAACACTGGTAGGGCTGGCCTGATGGTACCTTTCTCAAAGTGCCTTTTCCACTGCAGCCCTAGAATGTGGCTGTGGTCTTAACCAATAACACAAGTCATTTGTCCCTTTGCTATTACACTATATTTTTCTCATTTTGCCATTTTATTTTAGTGCTGACACACAACACAAATTTGTTGACAAGTTAACAGAAAACTATGTTAAGCTTTGCCGTGTAACCACCACACCAGTTTTGATTGGTTCTCTATTCTCCGAAGTACAAGGGCTAAGAAAAGAGTGAAGGGTTTCCCATCTCTCAAGGACTAGCAGAGAAAGTAAAGAAGATTCTACCTCTGATATGAAGTCTCTTCAATTTCATTTCTGTTTCTGATAGCAAAGTCTAACAAGACAAAAGTTGGTCTAAGTTGTCCTAACACAATGGAGGTCTGCAGAACTTCTGCCTTATGTCAAAGAAAATGTACTTGTTTTTGTTTCAAGATGTGGATACTTTTTCTTCTGAAGCTTGGACTAATTATCATCTCTCAATCATTTGGGAGAAGATTAAACTATTCCTGGATTAATCATAATTAAAACAAAAAATCATGACAAAGGTGGCAGGTGATAAGGGCACGCTATACAAGATCTAATAAAGCATTGCCCAGTTTTCAAATACATAAATGTAAGAGTGGCTAGAGAGATCATCAAAAGTTGGTTGCTTACTAGCAGAGATGGGCAAGTACCAGCTCAGTAAAAAAAAGAGGTAAATAAGACAGAAGTCAGGGTTAATGGCTGTGAGCAGGAAAAAGAGATTCTTGGAAAGAGGTGTGAGCAGAGGGGGCTCCAAGACTTTTTGTGGCCATTTCTTTCCTGTACATCTCCTTCTACAACGAATTTAGACTTGCTGCATTCTGCTATGAAGTCCTTCCCTTAATAATCTCATGAGAGGGGGCCTGGGTGGCTCAGTTGGTTGAGCATCTGGCTCTATTTAAGCTTGGGTCATGATATCATGTGTTATGAGTTTGAGCACCACGTCAGGCTCTGTGCTGGCAGTGCAGAGCCTGCTTGGAATTCTCTCTCTGCCTCTCCCCTGCTCACACACTCTCTCGCTCAAAATAAATAAACTTAAAAAAAATTTTTTTAGGAGAGATTAAGAAAAAAGCTGCTCCAGAAACAATAGGGAAACATAATTAAATTTGACTGCTTCATTCAACGTTTCATACTGTTACTTTACAATTGATTTATTTAAAAATATCTCACATCTGGGGTGCCTGCCTGGCTCAGTTGGTGGAGCATGTGACTTTTGATCTTGGGGTTGTAAGTCAGGGCCCTACATTGGATGTAGAGATTACTTAAAAATAAAATCTTAAAATATCTGTGACATCTAAAATAGCAAGAATTGCTGGCACTTAAAAGACTATTAGGTAATATATGCTTCAGACTTATGAGGTTTTGTTTTAGCCACAATGTAGAATTGTCCATGACACCCTTCCTATATTTCTAGTTAATTGAGGATTAACTGTAATTGTTAGAGTTTACTCTTCCAGAAGAAATTTATATTCAATTTCCTGTCCTCTTTACTCACTTTGAACATTATTTTGTGTCTATGACCATACTTACTATTGAATCATCCTTATAGTTTGCTGCTTGCAGAGAGAGACAAACTGGACAGTTTCTCAAGAAGAGTATTCTAAGAGAAAGGATGATGTGATTCAGTGATCTAGCAAATGTGCTACTTGTGGCCTTGAAGGCACATGTCAGTTTGTAACATACTTAACTCTTGCTCAGGGTTGTAGAAATCATCTGGAGTTCATGGCTAGCACCCACTAGCAACCACTAGCCCTGGAACAGCTTCTTCTTTTGCTACTTATAAATGCTAAGCTTACCTCTTTGGGGTCGATATGCATCTTTCTTTTGACATGTCCATAGGGCATTATCTTCTGTTTGTGATTGAAACCCAACTGTCTTCTTCTCCCTTCTATTTTCACCACTGTTAGTGGACTCCTGGTACTTTTTGATGGATGATGATGCTCCCAGCAGCCAGTCAGAATATTTTGACTTCAATAAACTAAAAAGAATAAACAAGAATGGGCTGTATGTAGACAGCATACATGGGGGTGTGTGATCACATAAAGGCATATAAATTCAGCATGAGTTAAAATGCAATTCATGGCAGTAAGGACTTTCTTTTTCTTCTTATTTTTTATTGAAATATAATTTGAATAATTTATAGAAGGTCTGTTTTGTAACTTTCCACAATAATTTTGGAAAAGAAATGGTCTTTATCCTCAAAAAGCTTATATTTGGAGTTGGGGAAATGAGACTCAGACTCATGAAACTGCTAATAAAGCCATAGAGTATGACTAAGAACCAGAATATCTGTAGAAATAAAAAGTATGCTAAAACAAGACTTGCATAACTAAAATGTTTCCAAGTACTAAAATTGAACATTAGGGATTAAAATATCACCAATTTGCTTCAACACGCATTTGTGTTTCTCATTTTCAATTGTTACAGTATTTATTATGTGCCCAGAGTATGTAAGGAGCAGTACAATGGTCTCTGTCCCCACATCATTTCATTCTAAAGTCAACAAGGCAAATATGGAGAAAAAGGAATTTTAATGAAAATAAACACATGTACATATGTTTTTCTCTCTAATAAACTGTGTTCTCACCATTAACACATTTCCTTACAACATTTTATTTTTTAGAAAGAAGTGTTAGAATGATGTATATTCATTACTATTCCACCAGCCTCTTCCTTCACACTTAAATTAACCACAGACTCATGACACTTTGGTATTGTCTTCCCCATGCCCATGAACAATGTGAGTACTAAAGTGAAAAGACAGAGAGAGAGAGAAAGAGAGAGAGAGAGAGAGAGAGAGAGAGAGAGAAGACTTTTACTCAAAAAGTAGAATCTAAATATTAAGACTAAACAAACTCCCCAGAAACAGAGGTAATCCGTAGACAGAAATAATTTGACCAGGATTATAATCATGTAAACCTATCAAAGTCATTGGGTTTCTGGTTTACGTTGATCAGAATTTTTAATAATGTCTGCTCATATCAAATGTATTACTAAAACCAAGAAATTAAATAGCTTTATGTTTGGAGTGATATAAAGAAACAAAAACTATTAGTAGTATGGCTTTATATGAGCATAATGCAGCATATTAAATTTATACTCTTAAATTTTTTTTTAACCAGAATTCAGAGATCACTTTCCCATGTGGATTCAGCAGTGGCTGTATATCTTAGCTCATATAACTTCTATTCATGAGACAGGAAAAAAGAAGAGAATAAAACTATCTCACTGTGAATGTAAGATAAATTTACCTTAACCCAGAAGCTCCAAATGCAGGCAAATCCAAGGACTATATCTTTGCTTGCTCTTATATGAAAGTTAATGCGACCAAGACTACTGACTCCCCTAAATTCATTCATTCTCAACTTAGCTGAATCCCCAATACTAGCCAATGTTTATCCCTCCCAAAGTTGATTGCTTCCTGTTTCTTTACCCCATTTTCCATACTCCATTTCTATATCTTTATTCCAAACCCAATCCTGGTAATCCACTATCTCAACAGGGGACATGGCTTCTAATTTCTCTAAAATAAAGATGACTAGAAAAAAAAAATCTCTCCTTTCCTTCGTATTTATTTCCAGCTTTACCTATCTACTATTCCTCCATTAATGTCTCCAAAGAAAATCACACCTTTTATTCGTACTCTTAATATCAGTGACCTATGCCTTCTGTGACTATGGCCCATCAGTTTTCTCCTTTTCTTATAATTTACAAATTCCTCCTCTCAACTTAATTCTTTCTGAGGATTACAAACAAGATCAGACTTTCCATTAAAAACCAAACCCTAAATCTAAAACCAGAAACTCTTCCCATAAGTGGGAAAGTATAATACTCAGTGTCAGTGACAGTGAGGGGACAAGAGCATTTTAATACATTACTGGAGGAACTGTAAATTGGTATAGCCTTTTGGTGGGTGATTTGTCAACACAAAATAAAAATGCACCTACCTCTTAACAATTTTGCTTTTAAGAAGTTATTCTATAGAATTACATAAACAACAGTATGAGAATATTTGTTCAAGGATGATCACTGCAGAATACTTGTAATAGGAGAAAATTGAAGGCAAATATTCAATAGAAGAATGAGTGAAAAAAAAACCCATGATACATCTATTATAAGGAACAATATTCAGTTATTAAAAGGAATGAAGTAGTTCTTTATACTATTGTGGAGAAACTTCATGACATAATATTAAGAAAGAAAGAAATAAAAAGGAAAAAAGAAAGAAAGAAATAGAAAGAAAAGCAATTTGCAATAATAGAATGTATATAATGTGACCTAATTTTTGTAAAAACAAAAATACACAAAAAGTAATTTTAAACTTCTAGATGAATAGATACCAAACCTGTGGAAAGAAGCAGAAATAGAGTGACTTAGGGAATAGCTTTTATAATTTAGTTTATATATTTCTTCATATTTTCATTTCATCTAATAATCATGTACTTTTTAAATAAAAAGTACCATCTCCTCTCTTTTCCTTCTCTGCCAAACCTCTAGAAAACAATAATCAATTTTAAAGATATACTTACTAAAACTAATTTAAAATGTATTTATTTAAATTCAAGTTAGTTAAATACAGTGTGGTATTGGTTTCAGGAGTTGAACCCAGTGATTAATCATATAATACCTAATGCTCATCCCAACAAGGGTCCTCCTTAATGCCCATTACACATTTAGCCCATCCCACCACCTAACACCCCTCCAGAAACCCTCAGTTCATTCTCTGTATTTACGAGTCTTTTAATGGTTTGCCACCTCTGTTTTTATCTTATTTTTGCTTCCCTTACCTTATGTTCATCTGTTTTGTTTCTTAAATTCCACATATGACTGACTTATTGTGCTTAGCATAATACACTGTAATTCCATCCACATTGTTGCAAATGGCAAGATTTCATTCTTTTTGATTGTTGAGTCATATTCCATTGTGGATATATACCACATCTTCTTTATCCATTCATCAATCAATGAATATTTGGGCTCCTTTCATAATTTAGCTATTGTTGATAGCACTGTTATAAACATTGGAGTGCATGTGTCCCCTTCAAATCTGCATTTTTGTATCCTTTGGATAAATATCTAGTAGTGCAATTTCTAGGTTGTAGAGTAATTCTGTTTTTAAGTTTTTGAGGAAAACTCAAAATTTCCACCCAGTTTGCATTCCCACCAACAGTGCAAAGGGTTCCCCTTTTTCTGAATCCTAGCTAACATCCGTTGTTGCCTGAGTTGTTCATTTTAGCCATTCTGACAGGTGTAAGGTGGTATCTCAGTCTGGATTTGAGTTGTGTTTCTCTGATGATGAGTGATATTGAGCATCTTTTCATGTGTCTGTTAGCCATCTGGATGTTGTCATTGGAAAAGTGTCTCTTCATGTTTTCTGCCCATTTATTAACTGGATTATTTGTTTTTGGGTGTTGAGTTTGGTAAGTTCTTTATAGATTTTGGATACTAACCCTTTATCTGATATGTCATTTGCAAATATCTTCTTCCATTCCATTGGTTGCTTTTTAGTTTTGTTGATTGTTTTGTTTGCTGTGCCTAAGTTTTTATCTTGATGAGGTCCCAATAGTTCACTTCTGTTTTTATTTCCCTTACCTTCAGAGACATGTCTAGTAAGAAGTTGCTGCAGCCGAGGTCAGAGAGGTTGCTGCCTGTTTTTTCTCATAGGATTTTGATGGTTTCCTGTCACACATTTAGGTCTTTCATCCATTTAAAATTTATTTTTGTGTATGATGTAAGAAAGTGGCCCAGTTTCATTCTTCTGCATGTCACTGGACTGTTCTCTCAGCACCATTTACTGAAGAGACTTTCTTTTTTCCATTGGATACTCTTTCCCACTTTGCTGAAGGTTTGTTGGCCAGACACTTGTGGGCCCATTCCTGGGTTCTCTGTTTTATTCCATTGATCTATGTGTCTGTTTTTGTACCAGTACCATACTATCTTGATGATTATAGCTTTGTAATACAACTTGAAGTCCAGAATTGTGATGCTTCCAGTTTTGGTTGTCTTTTTCAACATTACTTTGGCTATTTGGGGTCTTTTTTGGTTCCATACAAATTTTAGGATTGTTTGTTCTAGCTCTGTGAAGAATGCTGGTGTTATTTTGATAGGGATTGCACTGAATGTGCAGATTGCTTTGGGTAGTATCGACATTTTAACAATATTTGTTCTTCCAATCCATGAGCATGGAATATTTTTCCATTTCTTTGTGTCTTCTTCAATTTCTTTCATAAGCTTTCTTTGGTTTTCAGCATATAGATCTTTTACCTCTTTGGTTCGGTTTATTCCTAGGTATCTTATGGTTTTTGGTGCAACTGCAAATGTGTTCGATTCCTTGATTTCTATTTCTGCTGCTTCATTATTGATATATAGAGATGCAACTGATTTCTACATGTTGATCTTATATTCTGCAACTTTGCTGAATTCACATATTCATAGTTCTAGCCATCTACCATGCTAATGGAGGTCAAAAGAAAGCCAGAATAACCATACTTATATCAGACAAATTAGATTTCAAAACAAAGACTGTAACAACAGATGAAGAAGGGCATTATATCATAATTAAGGGGTCCATCCACCAAGAAGATCTAACAACTATAAATATTTACACTCCCAACTTGGGAGAACCAATATATATGCACATATATACATATATATTAATAACAAACATTAAAAAACTTATTGATAATTATACCATAACAGTAGGAGACTTTAATATCCCACTTATAGCAATGGAGAGATCATCTAAGCAGAAAATCAACAAGGAAACAATGGCTTTGAATGACACACTGGACCAGATGGACTTAACAAATGTATTCAGAACATTTCATCCCAAAGCAGCAGGATACACATTGCTCTCCAGTGCACATGGAACACTCCATAGAATAGATCACATACTGGGTCACAAGTCAGTCCTCAACAGGTACAAAAAGATTGAGATCATATCATGCATATTTTCAGATCACAATGCTATGAAACTTG